TTTTTTATTTTTTCCCGTTTTTGAAAAAGTACTTCCATACTGTTGGAACTTTATTATTAATAGGCTGTGATTCTCACCCCCCCAACGTGCACAGTTTCTAATCAATACCATTTAGGGAAGTAAGACTAGATGGAAGCATTGTTAATAAATGCATCTGTGTCAGTGTCTAACTTTAGAGTTATGTCTATCAATGAGAACTGCACATACCCGAATTGCAGGTACAGTGACCCAGAAGCAGCTCACTTTAGTTTGGCTGGAGTACCAGGGACTGTGCGGTTGTATATTAAAGGCAGTAAAATACAAATCTGTAACAAGCTAAAGTCTGATTAGAAAAGTGCACTTGCTATTCTAGAAAGGCTTGGTTTTCTTAGAAATAGAGTAGAACACAATAAAAAGATTAGTTAGAACATAGCCTAAATAATAGAAGGGTAAATGCTGCCGCACTGACAAGGTCTAAGCATGTGCCACTTTTGTTGGGAGGAGCAAGGTATGAAGGTATATGTGTAGGACACATAGTGTAGTTCACAGTACAAGAGTTTGTGTGGTTTTGCTTCCATTATATTTATTATTTTGTAGAGATGTTTGTGAATGTTAGACTTCTTTTATTGTTTTATCATATTTATGTATAAAACAGGTTGACTTTGCTTTTTTAAAATAAATAAGCAAAAAAAAGTCTCTGTGAATGCCTCTGTCATCTTTTGAAGGAAGTTGCCTATAAAGATCTGGTATGGTGTTTTGCTTTCTAAAATAAAACTCTTTAGACCAGACAATTTAAAGTAGGCTGTAGCCATGTTTTGACATAAAGAGCAGATTGAAAACTTCAGAAAACTTAAAGCAATGCATCCTGATTACTCTGAAAATGAGTCAAGATTTTAATTAACTTGCTAGGTGCTAGAAAAAATTGTCTGGGGGAAATAAACATACTTAAAGATAAGTTGTATTGCAAAAGATCTCAGTAATTATTTAAAAAAATCTCTGTGTGGTTTCTCTTGTTAAATTTATTTTAAAATTAAACCTCATTCTTCTCCTCAAGAATGTGGTTGGTGGTTGACTGAGACTTCCTGCTTACTGACAAGCTGTTGGGAACAGGATGTGCCTTCAGCTCCCTCTACTACCTGCCAACATTGTTTTAAAAACTTTGGCACTTGTCAGTGTAACATCAGTGAGTACTACATGAAATTGTAAACTACATTTCTCACTGAGTTCATTATGCAGTGGCCTAAGGTCAACAATGTAACTACAGTAATGTTTCTGAAGTTCAGAATGCTTTACCTCTTCCTCAGTCCTCATCCAGGTAAACCACTGTTGGTGTATCTCTGGAGTTGGGACACAGAATACATAGACAAATGCTCCACACTGTAACAGCCTGCTATTTCTCTTACCCTTTAAATGGATCTCCTGGGCCCAGACACACTCCAGATAGTCACTTAGAAAAATTACAAATGTAAAACTGTAGTTAAATGCAATGTTCTCTTTCTTACAGTCATTATGACTGGGTACAAGAAGGAATGGTAAAAGAGGTAGCCCTGTATGACATAGCTAACCAGATAATTTGAAACTAAAGATAGAAAACAATCAAGTTTCTTGCTTTTGTAATTAATTTTCTGTATTTAGGGCAATATGTAATGCAAATGAGAAATTGTATTTAATTTCCTCCATAAACAGGAAATTGACATGGAGGTTCATAAAGTCATATTCTATGCTGGAAAAGAAAAGTACTGAAATTTTTCATCCTCTGTCACATTTAGTTTCCATTGAGGAGAATGTTAGCTGATGAATTCATAGGAAGAAGCAAGTACATGCTTTTGATCAAATTTGATTTACATGTAACTCACCGTGTATGACAAATGCAAAATTTTATGTAGTTGAGCTAGCATTTTTCAATGCTGCTGCGTGTCAGTTATTGTCACGTGGTTTAAGGTTCACACATCCTAGCAGACAGTTTATTAATTCTAATTGTTAAGGAGATGGATGACATTTCCTGTTGAATCTGTAAATTCTTCTGGAATGAATTTATAGCCCTCTTCTACCCTTCCAGCCAAAGGTCATTCCAAATGCTATATGTGGAATTTGTCTGAAGGGTAAGGAGTCCAACAAGAAAGGAAAAGCTGAAGCTCTTATACATTGCTCGCAGTGTGACAACAGTGGTAAGTATTTGCATACACTAAATGGATTCCTAAGGCAGTTTGTTTGACAGCTCTATTTGTAGACATATATAGCGTACTACACGTGTAGCAACAGTTAAGTTGCTTTTCTGCCTTTCCTTAAGACTCCATCTCTCTTCAGTGTTATATGTAGTGGCACATGCAGTGCACTGCGGGATGTCACCAGAGGTGAGCTAAGCTTCAGCTTTGGTACAAGTAAACAATCTTAACTAGTTTTACATTTCATTTCAGACATGGAAGTAATAACACTGGTTTTAATCTAGGCCACCCTTCTTGCCTTGATATGACCCCGGAGCTTGTTGCTATGATTAAGACTTACCCTTGGCAATGTATGGAGTGTAAAACGTGCATTATCTGTGGGCAGCCTCACCATGAAGAAGAAATGATGTTCTGTGATGTGTGTGACCGTGGTTATCACACTTTCTGTGTGGGGCTTGACGCTATCCCTTCAGGTAATAAAGAGTTACTTGTTCCCTTCCCACGTCCTTTGAGTTCTAGGTGCTCTCCGAGGATTAATATATGCATTGCTTTTGAAAGAATAGTTTAAAACAAGTGTGAAGGGTAGGAGTAAGAAGTACTGTAGGAACACATTCACACTGTGGGACCTCATTTTTTTTTTTTTTTAGTAAGCTTTATTTATGTATATTTGGTTGTGCACAGTTTAACCTGGCGATTCCTGTATAGGAAATATAATTGGCTTTTACAACATGATCCAAACAGGCTCACTCAGAAGTTTTTTTTTCCATATCCACAGAAACTGGGAAAAATTATCTCTTTTCATGAAAGAAACTTGTAAAAGAGACTATTGCTGCATATTGCTGGAGTATAGCTTTCACATTAATTGTTTGCGCTGCTATTTCAGCTTCTAAATTAAAAAGTAGTCTCAATTTAACATTCCTAAACACCTTTTTAAACCTCTTCTTTCCCTTTCTTAAACATCAAAGCTGGAAGTGAAGTACTTCTATGTCAGGCAGGCAGCTTGTACCTTTAAATTACCCAGTCGCTCCTATCATCTGGCCAGCTCAAGGCAGTAGAAAGGAAATAAAAGGTGGTACTGTTGCTTTACATGTACTATTAAATCCCTGGTAAGTAAGTTCATGAATTCAGTGGCAGTGACAGTATTCCCTGTACAGTACTTCAGACATGCTGTACATTCCCATTTTGGGAAGCACTGGTGCCAGCTGTCACTTTAGCACAGGTTCGATGGCCAATTTCACTTTCAGGCTGACCTAGAGACAGAGTAAACAAAACAGATTCTACAAAACTATCAGTTTACCAAAGCAGTCTTTTATGATTGCAGCTGTTGTAATACAAACAGTTAAATGCTTCCCCAACTGCCATTCATTTCTGCTCTGGGTAGCTGCCCCTAACCTTGAACTGTAATCATTCATGTGAAAATACAACTGGCAAACTCGAGCATTGTTTATCAAGTTCTTACTTAATAACCACCTCCTCGGCAGTGCTGGCACTTGAGTTCCATGAAGGTTCATGTTGCCAGTTCGTTACATGTAATGACTTTGCAAGGGAGCATGAACTATATATGCTGCTTTACAGAAAAGGTGCCTAATTTTAAAGAAAAGACTTGTTGTTGGTGTTAAAGGAAGTACTGCAAATAGATGAGCACCTCTTGGAACAGAGAAGGGCGTGTAACTAGATGAGTGAGTAACAAAGTTAGTTTCCCAATAATTGATAACTTTCTTTTCTTAGGTCGCTGGATTTGTGATTGTTGTCAGAAAGAACCTCCTGTACCCAGAAGAGGAGGAAGAAGGGGGAAAAACAGCAAGGAGGGCTAAAAAACCCTCAAAAACTTGCTGTCCAAAACTTAACTGCACAAATTAAAGTGATACTTTGGTGCTATTTAACCAACCACTCTAAGAGGAACAATACCACTTTTTTTTTTTTTATTTTTACCAAATAAACTTTCGCCTATATAATGATTTTTTTGTGATACAAGTCAGTAATCATGTCCTGTCAGATGGTGAGAGAGACAAGCCAAATTCCCACTCGAGAAGTCTTTCAGTAATGAAACTCAAACTGTACATTGTGTAAAATTATAGTAACATACTTGTTTATTTCAGTGCTTGTGTCAGTAAGCTCTGTGAAAAGAAAATTACAGAGCAATTTCAATATACTCTATTTGCATAGCAACTGGTTATTTTGAAAGACTCAAAGCAAAAAGTACTCCTGGAAAAAGTAAGTTTCGAGGAAGAGTGGGCATGACATGACCTTCTTCTCCTTTCAGCATAAATTTTCTTTGCAAGCTAAGGACTTACTCATAAAGGTGTGCTAAAAGAAATATCCATCCCAAAAATCTATAGAGGGAAGTGTAAGAAAGCACCTCTCAAGTTTGAGATAGTCTGTGCTCTGTTGTTTTTAATGAGAGATGAAAATGTCGTACTGACAAGTAACAGCAGCTGAAGGCTCCCTCTCCCTGCAGTAACAGCAAAGAAGCAACATGCATTTGATTTAGGTCATGGATTTGCAGTGGTTTTGAGTGACTGGACAGACCTCTGCTTGACAGATGGCTGACGTGAGCACACACAGATCCAATACAGACCATGTACCCCCTTAGGTGATCGATTGTTTCTCCTTCCTTTCCAATAGGCTCAACTTGAATATACACAAAACCCATTGCTAATTAGCTTTACTGGAGATACTTGCTCAGAAAATAAAACAGGTTTTATTTTTAAATATGCTCTAAATTGAGAGGGGGACTGAAGTGCAGCAGGTTTGTTGTCATTTTTCTTTATAAAAAAACAATAGAAAATAGTGAATTGATTTTCCTAAGCACCTGTTTAAAGTGAATTTAATGATATCCCAACTATACATTCATTTTTAAGCCCTGATCTCTGAAGAGCACTGCAAATACTGTGCTCTCTGCTCATTTTACATATAGGGGAGGATTTACAATATAAAATTAAATATGGCTTTTTCCCCCACTTCCTTTCTGGTTTAAGAAATGTAACCTGAATACCTCTTCAGGAAACATAACAAAGAGTATTAAATATCACGGCAAGTCATTCATATTCAATTCCACAGGCTGAAGTGTGACTTAGTCCAGTGTGTATCAATCTAAAAAAGAATTTCAAGTATTAACTTCAAGATTCCAATAAGTATAGTCCAGAAAACAGATTCCTCATCCTGAGATTCATCTTCTGTAGACTGTGAGTACTTCTGGTTTGCCTCCATCTCCTCGGGGTTGTAAGAAGCCTCACCAAAGGGGTACTGTACCACTGTTCGATCATAGTACACTTTCATTTCAAACTCGCTCTCCAGGTGAGAGGGATGGCCATAAATCCCTATTCCCACGGGGCGGCGGAAGTGTGCAGGCACATGGACAACGTCTTGGCCACAGGTTACTGACTGTAACTCGTACTCGTCAAAGCTGGGGTGAAGTGTCACATCAGAGACATACAAGTCTGCGTCACCTTTTAAACTCCGCATCTGAAGGACTATTTTTCCCTCGTGGTTTAGTCTTAAATAGCTGTAGTTTCCCGCTCCAATCTGGCCTTGGACAACATGAAGAAGAATCCATTCCTCAGGTACATCTTCTTCCTCAAAGGCATTTACCACAAACAGTACTTGAGCTGTCACAAATATTATCAGGATTCTCCTCCAGTATGCTGCCATGGTCTTAAGTTGTATCCAGAGTCTTCCTGTGTCCTGTGTTCTGCCTTGTGAATACAAAACACAATCCAGATTTTAGTATATTCCTTTCTTGGAAGGAATTATTATTTTTTTCTTTCTAAATTTGGTAATTGTTACAAATCCTGTCTAGTCCATGCAAAGTTAAACAACTTCAATGAAGTGTGTTCATTAACTTCGATTTTTTAATCGTAACAAAAAAACAGTGCTAAAGTTGAGAGCTCTGTCAGATGAAAATGACTTGTATTTCCTACAGTTAAACAGAAATTAATCAAGCCAGTGGTGTTTCATACAGAACTGACACAGAGACTTTAGTTTCATTCTACCCATATACATGCCAGATTTGACAGATAGCCAGAAGGGATGAAACCCAGTAATTATTTTAGCTTCAGTTCAGAAAAATAAAACCAGTTAAAAAAAGGAAGGCTTTTGCATGCTTGAAGAAGCTTAACTTTGTATGAGGTATTTAGGGCATCCTATTTGTTCTCCCATCCTCTCATCTCAACTTCAAAAGACAGCAACGGTGCAAATCTGGGTGTGCACATGAAGCAGTAGGCACTGGGAACGGAGTTAGAAACAAAAATATTATCTAATGAGGCAATATATTCATTTATGATTCTGCTGTGTGGCTTGTTTCTAGGACCAAATTTGGCATATTTCCCCTGAAAAAAAAAGCATTTACTTTCAAGAATATTTTGTTACTATCCAAACGCTCAGCTCTTTACAGCACTTGCTTACACAAGAGAAGGCTGAAGTTACCAGGACAAGGCAAAGATGGAAAGAACTGCTGCAAGATCAAGGCTCTTATACCCTTTTCCCTCCTTGCCACA